TTGCACATGAATTGCTCACTTTGGTATTAAATTAAATCTAACATTTCGTACCAAAAAATTAAAAATAAATATGAAATCTTTATCTTAAAAATGTCCATGTAGGATTCTCAAGCTAATAATTAGATAGCTATGATTGTTATATACCTTGCGAAATAATACACATAACCCACATGCTATGAATCTATGACGCAAACCCTTTTGGTGTTGGCAATTTACATTTTAACAATCACTTCTGTCTGAAGGCCTCATGTCGTATTAACGATATTAGACTTAATCAAATAATTAGACTACATCAAATAACTATATTGTCACTGAAATTGTTTAAACTATGTTGCTTTGGTAAGTTTAACATAAATTATGGCTAAATAGACTGCTTGGAATTACAGCATTTAAAGTTCTTTGTGTGTGCATTCTAGTTTTTAAGAACCGGAGTCACTTCATCAGAAATGTGGCTTACTTCAGCCAAACATAACAACGCAATGCTCAATATAATTAAAATCAATAGACCATAGTCATGGTACTAGTAATGATGTAGTCCAGCTAACCTCAGTTAACTCAGAATCAGCACTTTGAGCAAGCAATGAAACTTCAACTCTAGCTTCATGATTTTCATATAGTTCAGCTTCAAAATCCTCATCAAAGGCCACTGCACAGTTACTTTTGAAGCATGTAAGTGAAAACTAAAACACATTGTTGAAAAAATGACTACACTAAGGATTAGTATACCAGAGCCATATAAAGATAGCAACTTTAACTCCTTGGTATAGTACTTGAGAGTTCTCGGATGCAACAACCATAATCCTGTAAGGTGTAAAGCTGCCAGGCGAATAGTGCGAGGACTTTTTGAACCTTCATCAAGAAGTTTTTCAATAAACTGCAGTAGAAGAAAAGACTGTTAATAAAAATAATAGATAAATCGCAGATGCAAAAGTGCAGCAATCAGGCAGTCCTCGCACAAATCAAAAAATGCACCAAGCGATCCAGTCTGGTATGTATTCTCCTTTGGTTGTGTTGGTGTTTGGGGGTGTTTGGGGAGAGTGTGGATGAAAAGGGGAGAGCTAGAGTTAATATCCTATTACATTGACAGATAGCCTGCTCCATAAGGTCAGAGGAATAAAGCTTAGAGTTGGAAATAAGAGTTCCTTAATAAACAAGAAACTTTATCAATTAGTCGAGTGTGAGCTTGTATATTTATTTAATCTTCTCTATCTTTTTTCCCTTTTTTGGGTTTTTTTTGGGTTTTGGTTTTTTTCCGGTGGGTGGTGGGGTTGGGGGGGCTACAACATGATGACAAAAGGATAATTTTTGTATATTCAATTGCCTGACAAAAAAAAGTTCTTTACACGTATTATTTAAGCCAATTCCCATTTGTCGTCCAATCATATAGCCCTTGCTGCAACCTGAAAATGTTATGCAACCAAGAAATTGTTGAATACTAAACATAGTTCTTGCCAGTGGTGATACAATTACAAGATAAATGTAAACCTTCAAGCCTAAAAAAGGAATGCTTCTAATACGAAATATTTCATATCTTTACTGAAAATGTTCGACTGTAAAATAAGAAGCCACAACTCATATGTAATCTTTCTTTGATATGGTTGTGAAATACATCTAATAAATCTTACTTGATTTTCAAATTTCAAATTACAAATTATCCTACAGGAAGTGCTTAGGATCTTAGCTGGTGAGATTATTCTTCAAACAGTACACAATAAAAAAAATTACATATGACAGTCCTCTGGTAACATAAATAACAGCGTTCAGAACAAATAAAGACTGACCCACTTTAGAGGGCCCTGCTGACCGCCATCTCCTTCATGCATCCTCAAGTCACTGAATACTGACCGATGCAACACAGCAGAAAGAAGTGCAGCAATCGGGGCAACTCTACGCTTGTTGCAGCTAAGGTGTAGTATCCAAGAGCAGTGCACTAATTGCTGCATCATCTGAAAGGAAAGAAAAGGCATTGACATCATTACAAGGACAAAACCAAATGAGAGCTATAGAAATAACCTGACAAAAAATAACTACCAATATTACTGTTCTTCATCAATCATTTACCCATCATTTTTTGTCTTATTCACAAATAGTTCAACCCTCTCCTATCTCCCCACAACTGCAAACACCACCCATTCTCCGAAATAAAAAGAAAAAGAAAAAGAAAATTCAACAACAAACAAGCAGGTCACACAAGAAAGGACAATATAGGGGAAATGACAAGAAAAAAATCGCAAGTATATTAATGAGAAATGGCTAATACTTCAAACGAAAAACATGCATTTTGATCATATGTCAGAAGAAAGAAATCATAAGCATTTTAATGAGTGGGACGCCAAAAGAAAAATGTGCATTTTGTTCATAGGGGAGACGAGAAAGAAATGGCAAATATTTTAATGAGTAACAGCTCATACATCAAAAGAAAAATATGCATTTTGATCAGCCTCATAAAATATGATCTTGCATCTCATAATGAAATAGAATTACTTAATTCTCACTGAGTGACCCATATTCAATAAAGGGATTATGTCCAACTCCGATGTTGATGGTATGTGTCTGAAAATCTTCTAGTGGATAAGACGTGAGCAGAAATGACAGCAAAGGAGACAGCAAACAAGGAAGCTTCACTCAAATATCCCTTTTTCCACCATTATACAAGAAATAGAAAAGCCCACAAAAATACCCAGGTAGTACAACTCAGATATCCCTTTTTTCCACCACAAGTAGGCCTTCACTGGAATTGGGTTAAAGCAAGGTTTCGGAGACTTTAACGCATGATTATATTGAGAAACAGCCTGAAAATAACCCAAAAGACTAGAGGTTTAAAAATCCATCACCCACTCAGAGCATTCAGACTTTGTTTCAAGCTATCAAATAAATACATACCACGCTGACCAATATTCCTTAACCCGGTTAATCATGTAATAACCATTTCCGAACTAAGCCCAATGTTGGGATTCTTTGCTGTAAATTACTAAATTAGCTATAAATTAGGCTGTAAATTAGATATAAACAGCTGTGTAATTCTTTCCTTATATAGATTAGATTAGGCAAGATTCTCTCCTTTAAAATAGGAAACAAGTCCTATTGTTTAGGACACCAATTGTATATAAATAGACGTTCTGATGAAATACAAAAATAGGTCATTGAAACCTAAATTCCACATGGTATCAGAGCATCCCTAGAAACCTACTGTTCTTCCCACAAGCCGTTCTAGGTCAACTCTACATCTACTGCTTTTTCCGGCAGCATTCTGCACTGCTTATTCCGGCAGTATTCATATTCTACTCTGCTTATTCTGGCAGTATTCATCAGCTGCTCTAGCCTCTATCTCATTCTAGGCAGCAACATCAAATATTAGACATGACAAACACCAACGAAACTTCTATTAAAACTCCAAAATCCTCCACTTCAAACGTCAAAATTGCTATTTCAACAATGGGGGAGACTTGACAAACTACTCGTCCACACCCATCACCATCTACAAATTGAATGGTCGAAACTACATCCAATGGTCTCAATCCTTCATGTTTCATGTCCGCAGCAAGGAGAAAGAAGATTATCTCACTGGAAATATCACTGAACCAGATGAAAAAGATGCTGGTCAATCGGATTTGGAAGAGAGATAACAGCCAGGTCATGTCTTGGCTAGTAAATTCCATGGAGCCTAACATAGGAGAAAATTCTCTTATATGAAACTTCTGCAGAGATTTGGGAGGCTGCAAAAGACACTTATTCTCACAAACACAACACCCCTGAACTGGTGACTATTGAGGGTGTCTTGCACGATCTTCGACAAGGTGATTTATCCGTGACCGAGTATTACAACAAACTCCATCAAAGCTGACAGCAATTGTACGCTTTTGAAAAATATTCCTGGGATACCACTGCTGATCTGAAACAATACAAGAAGATCATAGAGAATAAACGGGTCTACAAATTTTGCTTGGGTCTGAATTCAAGTCTTGATGCTGTAAGAGGAAGGATATTTAGCACAAAACCGCTGCCAAGCTTACGTGAAGCTTTCTCTGAGGTCCGAAGGGATGAGAGTAGACGCCATTTGATGCTAGGGACAGAAAAATCAGCTACTAGTGGTGAGTCATCAGCCTTGGCTGTCCGAAACCAGCAGCAACCACGAAAAGGGGGAAGGTCATGGTGTGAACATTGTCGTTGCCCTGGTCATACAAAAGAAACCTGCTGGAAACTCCACGGAAAACCTGCTGATTGGAAGTCAAAGACAGCAATAGAGAAGGAAATTGGAGGCAACATGGCTGGCAGTTCAGAGCAACTTGGGAATTTTAGCAAAGAAGAACTTGATGGATTGAGAAAGCTGCCGCAATCACAGCAAACTCCACCAGTTGTTAGGTCAGGTTCCATAGCTCAAAAAGGTAATTTTCTTAAGGCCTTGACTGTGAAACAAGAGCACTATAAGCCTTGGATTGTAGACTCTGGGGCCTCCGATTACATGACAGGAGATAAGCAAGTTTTCCACACAAATTCTACTTGTAATGAAGCTCTCACAGTTAGAATTGCTGATGGTTCTTTGGCAAAAGTAAAAGGGACTGGTTCGGTTGTGGTATCCAAGGACATAACACTCAAATTTGTTCTATATGTTCCTAATTTAGACTGCAACCTACTCTCCATAAATAAAATTACTCAAGATCTTAATTGTATAGCTAATTTTTCTCCTCATGTCTGTGAATTTCAGGATTTGATTTCGGGGAGGATGATTGGCAGTGCTAGGAGTCATGCTGGGCATTATCATCTAGAGGTTCAACTGGATTCTATGAGACAATCTCATCTTGGAGTGAGTGAACCTATTTCTTGTCAAACTAGTTCTTGTGTGTCTGTTGGTGAGATTGAGAGGTCGGTCATGGTGTGGCATTACAGGTTAGGTCACCCAAGTTTTATGTACTTATCTAAACTTTTTCCAAGTTTATTCAGAAAAAAAAGTGCTAGTTCTTTTCATTGTGAAATTTGTCAATTTGCCAAACACACTCGCATTTCATACCCAATTCAGCCATACAAAGCATCAAAACCTTTTGCTATGATCCACAGTGATGTTTGGGGCCCTTCTCAAGTTTCAAATGTTACGGGAGCTCGGTGGTTCATCTCTTTCATAGATGATCACACACGACTCACATGGATTTTTTTCATGAAAAATAAATCAGAAGTTTCCCAAATATTTAAAAATTTCAAAACAATGATTAAAAATCGATTCCAAACTTCCATTCAAGTTCTTAGAACTGACAATGGAAGAGAGTTTTTCAATTCTAATCTTGGCTCAAACCTATCAACTGAGGGAATCATACACCAAAGTTCCTGTGTAGATACTCCTCAGCAAAATGGAATTGCTGAGAGAAAGAATAGACACCTTCTGGACATGGCAAGATCTTTGTTGTTTTCATCCCATGTTCTAAAACGTTTTTGGGGTGAGGCTGTACTTACAGTGGCATACCTAATCAATCGACTTTCATCCAAAGTACTAGATTTTTTCATTCCAAATCAAGTTTTTTTTCAACCATTTTCCCCACCACTCTTCCTTTAAAAATATTTGGGTGTACTGTGTTTGTGCATATCCATCAACAACATCAAACCAAGCTTGACTCGCGATCCACCAAATGTATCTTTGTAGGATACTCTCCCAACAAAAAGGGTTACAAATGCTTCTGTCCTAATAACCAAAAGTTTTATCATACCATGGATGTTACATTTTTTTGAAACAAAACCCTATTACCCCAAAACTGATATTCAGGGGAAGAGTTCTAGTCAGAGCCAACTACAAGAATATTAGTTTCTCTTGGATAGCACACTGGAAACACCTGAAATTCCACCTTCACTGGAAACACCTGAAATTCCACCTTCTCCAAGTGTCCAGATTGAACCTGAACCAAAACCAACTGTTTCTAAATTTTCCGATATAATTGTCTATCACAGAAAAAAGGGAAAACCGAAAGGAATCAAAAACTCTAGCAGATTCCCAACTATTGCCAGCATCTGAACTGAACCTGAGGTAAAAAAACCCTACATCTAACTTACAGACTATGGAGGAAAATTCTGCAGGTACTAGTTTGAATGATCATGATAATTCTAATGAGAATCTACCAATTGCACTCAGGAAAGGGGTGAGAGAATGCAGAAGTAAACCATTGTACCCAATTGGCAACTACGTGAATTATGTGGGATTATCTTCATCATACCAAGCATTCACTAGTAAAATCAGTTCTATCTCCATACCTAATTCAATCCAAGATGCCATGCTATCCCAGAATGGAAGAAGGCAGTTAATGAGGAAGTTAATGCTTTGATGAAAAATGGTACTTGGGAAATTACCGATTTGCCTCATGGAAAGAATATGATCAGGTACAAGTGGATCTTCACTATAAAAACAAAGGCAGATGGGAGTATTGAGAGATACAAGGCTAGGTTGGTAGCTGATTTACTCAATCTTATGGCATAGATTATGAGGAGACCTTTGCTCCGGTTGCAAAACTCAACACTATTCGGATACTCCTCTTTCTTGCAGCAAATTTGGATTGGTCCCTCCATCAATTAGATGTCAAGAATGCGTTCTTAAATGGGAATCTAGAAGAGGAGGTCTATATGGACATTCCTCCAGGACTACAAAACTCATCAAACATCAACAAAGTGTGTCGACTAAAAAAGGCACTTTATGGTCTCAAACAATCACCCCGAGCTTGGTTTGAAAGATTTACCATAGTTATGAAGAGTAATGGGTATATACAGGGACAATCTGATCATACAATGTTTGTAAAACATTCTTCGGATGGACTAATTTCTGTGTTGATTGTCTATGTCGATGACATTGTTCTAACAGGGAATTATGTTGAGGAGTTTCCAAAAATCAAAGATTTTTTTACCAGAGAGTTTGAGATCAAGGACCTAGGTAAACTCAAATACTTCTTGGGAATGGAAGTGGCTAGATCTAAGAAGGGAATTGTTGTTTCTCAAAGAAAGTATGTACTGGATCTTCTTAAAGAAACGGGTATGCTTATGTGTAAACCTGCAGAGACACCTATGAACAACACTACCAAACTTGGTTCAAATAAAGATAGTGTTCCTGTAGATAAGAGAAGATATCAAAGACTTGTAGGGAAGTTGATCGATCTCTCTTATACTAGGCCTGACATAGCATTCTCAATAAGTGTTGTTAGTCAGTTCATGAACAACCCTACTGAAGAACACATGACAGCGGTGTACAGAATCTTGAGATACTTGAAAATGACTCCCGGAAAAGGGTTGTTATTCAGGAAGAACTCAAGTAGGGAAGTGGAAATGTATTCTGATGCAAACTGGACAGGCTCAATCACAGATCGTTGACCCTAGGGTTTTGAATCGTCGAACGTTGATTTTCGCTTGCAACGCGTTGACTGGCGTTGACCTAAGGTTACGCGTTGACCGGCGTCCACCCTAGGGTTTCGAATCGTCGAACGTTGACTTTTGTTGCAACGCGTTGCTTGGCGTTGACCTAGGGTTACGCGTTGACCGGCGTTGACCCTAGGGTTTACGGATCGCCATTAACACAGTTTATACTCGTACGTTTGCTGGAGTATACACAGTTTAAGCTCTTAAGGTATTGGAGCACGGTGGTCCCGAATGTTGGGGTTGCAGGACCAACTGTTAAAGTTGATTCATCTGCATGTGTGGATTTTGTCCTGAATTTGTTGGGTGCTTAAGTCACGAGACCAACTAGTGGAGTTGATGCGTCAATGACTCGCAGTTATAGAATTTTTGGCAAATCCTCAGCCATCAACGGATTTGACAAGCCTTTACCGACTACCGTTTGAGTCGGGCTAGCATGCGGATTGTTTAAGTCCGCTCTTATGTGACGTTTGTGCTAAGAGAGTTAACGCTCTTAGTGCTACGATATTGAATACGTAGACTTCGTCTTTCTCACGGGAATAGACTACCCGGCAACGCGTGTTAGGCGTTGACTTTAGGATTTTTGGCTAATCCCCAGCCTTCAACGGATTTGATTAGCCTTTACCGACTACCGTTTGAGTCGGGCTAGCATGCGGCTTGTTTAAGTCCGCTCCTATGTGACGTTCAAGCTAAAAGAGTTAACCGTTTTAGTGCTACGATATTGAATACGTAGACTTCGTCTTTCTCACGGGAATAGACTACCCGGCAACGCGTTCATGAACAACCCTACTGAAGAACACATGACAGCGGTGTACAGAATCTTGAGATACTTGAAAATGACTCCCGGAAAAGGGTTGTTATTCAGGAAGAACTCAAGTAGGGAAGTGGAAATGTATTCTGATGCAAACTGGACAGGCTCAATCACAGATAGACGGTTCACTTCTGGATATTGTATCTATGTTTGGGGAAATTTGACAACATGGAGAAGTAAAAAGCAAGTTGTGGTAGCTCGGAGTAGTGCAGAAGCGGAATTTCGAGCTATGGCTCATGGTATTTGTGAAGGAATTTGGGTGAAAAGAGTATTAGCTGAATTGAAGATACCTTCTAAAGGATCAATCCAGCTACTGTGTGATAGTCAATCTGCTACAGTATTGCTAAAAATCCAGTTCATCATGACCAGACCAAGCATGTGGAAATAGATCGGCATTTAATTAAAGAAAAGTTAGAAGGGAAAGTAATCAAGCCTATTTACATTCCTTCTAATCTACAGACTGCCGATATCTTGACTAAAGCACTTCCAAGGGTGCATTTTGAAGATCTTAGTCGCAAGTCGGGTATGATAAATATTTACAACCCAACTTGAGGGGGAGTGTTGGGATTCTTTGCTGTAAATTAGCTATAAATTAGGCTGTAAATTAGATATAAACAGTTGTGTAATTCTTTCCTTATTTAGATTAGATTAGGCAAGATTCTCTCCTTTAAAATAGGAAACAAGTCCTATTGTTTAGGACTCCAATTGTATATAAATAGACGTTCTAATGAAATACAAAAATAGGTCATTGAAACCTAAATTTCACACCCAAGTAGTTCGTTTCGAAAAGGAAACATTTAAGGTTTGACAAGACAAAGACTGCAGCTATTTAATCTGAATAAGTGACTTCTTGATGCTTCTGAAATATTCAAAGATTAAATCTACTGCTCAAAAAACAAAAACAAAAAAAGAAAAGATAATAAAAGGGTTCACAAAGTTTTTAGCTTTTCTATTCAACTGTCAACATTAACAAAGACAGGACAAGGAAATTTTACTTCAAATTTAAGATTTGATGCTGTTGACATAGACCACGGTCACCGATGGAGAATCAAGTGTTTCAGATACTGCTTAATACCTTCTGTTTCAGCTAGTTTTCATGGCAACGTACAACTTTCATCCGTGAAAGTGAACCTAAATGCGACAAGCGACAGGCATATGAGTGGAAATCTAGGAGATGTTCCCTCTTCCAGTCTCTGGACAGGAAAAGATCTTAACGTAGTCTCTTCTAAACGAGAGAAATACTGGCAGAGCAGAATCAGACCCCACTGCTGAGTGCTGATTGCTGAGTTTAAAGCTCTTCTAAAAGAGAAAAACACTAAGAAGCAGACTTCACTGCTAGCTGAAATGGCACGATTTCCATTCATCCTAAATGCAGGATACTAGAACTATCATTACAGGTTGCAAACATATGGAAACATCAGGCAGTAAAGCTTCTTATTTAAGAGAATCCATAATTTGAAGTTGAATATTTTAGTCAATCTGGTCCTAACCATGTGTACATAGATTACTCTTCTTTATTTGGTAAGCTAACTGTTGCACTTATAGGATTTTAATAAATACGTAATAAAGTAAACATCAATATGCTAATGATGTATACAAATTATATCAATTGAACATGAATTACCTGATAGTCCACCCCCTTTGAAGAGGAGATTGTTGAACTAGTTTGAAGAGAGCAAAGAAGTCCAATAACAAATCTTACACATCTCAATATGGGTAAAACAGAATTTTCACCAGCATTCTCCAGGCTGAAAAACCAAACAATAATCAAAAGAATAAGTAACTGAACTGATATCAAATTTGGTACATTAAAGTTAGAGACATAATGGCAACATGAGCTAAGACATAAGGATGAGACGACCTACTAAAACTACAAGTCTATAACTGTAAAACCCCGTAATTTTGAATGTTGTGAGATATAATAATAAACATGTTATATTGTGATAAATAACGTTTATTGATATTTGAGTATGCTAGGAATTGATTTGAGATCAATTCGATACATATATATGAATATATGAGTGCAAATGCACAAAACATGCACGAGAAAAATCTGAGAAAAATGACCAGTCAAGAGTTTATAGATTTTACACAACGATGCACTTAGAATCTGAGAAAACTCAAAAGACCAAAGTTATAGGTCTTTTTAACAGCTTTCCAACAAATCTTTAATCATCTCATTCTGAGGTCGGATGAGAAAGTTATCGCTAAAATACTGTGTACAGATTTCAGAAACATGTGTATTACTTAGTAGTCGACTACTATGCTTAGTAGTCGATTATCGGGAATTCCTGAACGTGCCAGGTTTCAGTTTTCGGGTTGGATTTGCATTGTATCTGAACCCAGTTGTTACCATAAGTATATATATTCGTTTTAAAGCTCTTTTTACCCTATTTCACGTGAGATTATCACCAGCCACCTTCCTCCTCAAACCCTAACCCTAAACTGGGAATTTTGGGAGTGTTCTTGAGAAGTTTGTCAAGAAGAAGGCACGTGGTTGAGGAGTCCAACAGCATCTTAAGGCAAAATTATCTTTGTCCAAACTCATCCCCATAGTTAAATAACTAGATTAGAAGTTAAATATTAATGTTTATGTGCATGATCTTAATATGAGATATAAAAAGATTAGATTTTTATGTTATTTCATAAACCCATGCTAGATCTATACTTGTTTTTCTTGCTGTTGTATATAGTTTGTGATCATAATCATTGTGATGCTTTTAGTTTCACTTTTAACCCGTTAATCATGTTTAGATCATGCCTAAACCCTAAATATGCAATTAATTGAATGCACATGATGTTTAAAGAAGTTTAACCCTGGACTTGTGACATCTAGGTTTTGTAAAATCAGAATTTAAAACAAGATTGATCTTTGTTCATATGTAGATTTTAAATCATGTTATTATTATCATATTGTTTACATATTGATCAATTGAAGAAAATGATTAATTTTAATGTAAAACCCTAACTAGACAAATTTATACATTGTTATCATGCTCAGAATAGTTATTAATGTATGTTTAACAAGTTTAAATCATGTAAATATGAAGTGATAAGTGTATGTTAAGTTAATTTCATGTTTGTGCATGTCAGTATACATGTTTTCATAGTGTAATCGACTACTAAGCATAGTAATCGACTACTCTGTAAAACCTTCGAAACACAAAAAACTGAGTTATAGCAGAGTAGTCGACTATTGATCCTAATAGTCGACTACTAACAGTAGATTTGTTTTCACAGAGTCTGGATTGACTCAGAGTAGTCGACTACTAATCCTTGTAGTCGACTACAAAGGCTGTTTTTCCTAAGTTTTGTTTTATGTCTACTTAAGATGTGATCGCGGACTTCGAGCCATACTTCTTTACATATATTTTTACGAATAGTGCAGTAGTACACACTTGGGGTTTTCTGAGACGGATTATGAAGGGTTAAGACCCAATTACTTTAAGGAAGAGTTTAGAACATACTATACACACACCTTCTGGATATCGTTGATGAGCTCAGTTCAGTACTACGGGGGTAGTGCGTCGATATTCCATTTGTGCAGGCCATTGAGTCGGGTTTGGATGCTTTATTTAGCAGTCCGTCCGTACGAGGATGCGATGAGGCTTGTGGGCTGTACTTCTAGGATACCTATATGGTAGACCGTTCCGCACTCATGTTACGCACTGAGATCGCGATGAGACTAATGAGCCGTGTACACTGATTAGGATACCTACAGGGTAGTCCGTTACATATGATAATGCTAAATATCAAAATCTTGCACGGAGTTACATTAAGATAGCCAAACGATAGCCTGAGTCATTAGCGGATGCCAGTTACGTTTTTAACTCACTGCTAAAATATATGACCCAGAGTACTTTGCATATGAAAGTACACGAGATTTGTGTCGGTATTCATTCTATCTCCCCAGTGGCAGTGGCAGATATTATGAATACGATATGTTGACGTCTTTATTTTTTTTCCTGCTTTTCTTTATTTCTTAGGTTGGGATCAATGATTAGCGGTTCACGATTCGGGACATATGATATATACATGAGGGTTTCCTTGTTTGGATTATTTCGCTCGACGTACCAGTCTCGCGCTGTGGATTTCAAATTATTGATTTCATTTAGATTGTTTATCCTTAATTCAGTATTAATGTTTAGATGTTTACGATTCGGGACATATGGTATATACATGAGGGTTTCCTTGTTTGGATTATTTCGCTCGACGTACTACGTCTCGTTTTGTAGGTGTTTGAATATTAATTCCGTTAGATATGGGGAAAATGATATAGGTAGACTATGCTTAATAGATAGAGCCTCCACTCCATCTAGCAGCCCTTCCCCTGAGGACGGATGGAGATAATCTTGATGTAGCGCTCTGACGTTCTTGTTGTTTCTTTTTCTTTTAAAAATACTCTTTCAGGTAGCTCGGAGTTCCGAAGAGCCGCAGGATGACGGAGTTCTTGCATAGTCGCCGTCCCGAGAGATTTATTAGAGGCTCCACTGTAGTTTTAAATTTTTTTCAGACTTAGAGTTTATTTTCATTTTGTAAAGGCAATGTGCCTTAGTTCGACTTTCCGTTTTGATTTATGTTGAGACATCGTATGTTATTTCAGACCGCAGATGTATTTCAGTTTGTTTTCAGTTGAGACATGACCTTTATTTATGAGATATCATCTTCTTTATCATGTCTATTATTGTCGTTTTACTTCTTTGCCTGTTTTGTACCTACGTTTTTATTTGATTCCACTAGAGGATATTACTATGATTGGTGAAACTTGTTGTTGCACAGTGTGAGTGCATGACAGGTTTGACATCTCTGGGTTCACCTTGGACTGCAGCCATGTGTGAAAACAGGCGCGTCACAATAACTCATTAAACTAGTTGATTAACATCGGAAATGTTCAATACACAGAACCATTAATTGATAAATAATAGAATTATACATGAAGATAGATTTGTCAAACTATGATTATGGCTACAATCAGAGCCAAAGCAGAGGCCTACTAAAACCAGTAATTTAAATCAGTACAACTAGCAACATCATCATCAAAACAATTGTTTGTATGCCTATTATTGCATTTTAATTCATGGCTTGTTAGCATTATTATTACACAACCTAAATCCAAACCTCCAGGCCTAGGCTTGTTTGAAATAAAAATTTTGGTGGATAATTCGTTTATTTGATGTCTAGACTCTAATACTTGTGCCGCAACCCACACAGTTAGCCTAGATCAACTATAAATAATTATATAGAAGCTAACTAATTTGATGTGTTGTTTCCTCCTCTTAAGCAATTATCCAAGCTTGTGACAGATAATTCCCTCTCCTTGTTGCACCTCTGTTGTGTCTCTTCAAATTTCTTCCAGGGGCTCAATTAACAAAGTTGAGATAGAAAAAAAAGGGAAATTTTTTAAAGAGAGAAAAAGAAAGAATGCAGTTACTTGTCAGAGAAGTGCAGGAAAAAAGGGCCAGAATAATAGGCTGTAGTGAAAATAATAGGTAATAACGAGCAGTGGAACCAAAAGGTAGATTACAGTAGTTCGGAGTGTCTTAATCCAAAATGGATATAATAGCGCATTTGAAGCAATGGCAGATGGAATTCCAATTCATGATAACCACACTGACCCGCAATTGTTTCGCACTACTTAAGCAGTTGAAATATAAAACATTTATCCAAATAGGAGATATCTTTAACAGGAATTCCAAAGTGTCCCATTTGTGACAGTTTGTGTACGTGTATGAGACAGAGTTCACTGCTTCCAAAGGATTTAGCGTTGAATCCTTTCCATTCAAATGCAATGTAAAACCATTCAAATGAAAGATCCACTCTGTTAAAAAATAATTCATACCATTTGAAGTATCTGAAAACCAAAAGCTAGGTATTTTGATATTTCCCAATATATTAACTCGGCACAAAATGGATAATAGATGGTCACTAATTCTTACATTAACAGTTTATGGTATAAACATTTAAAATCCAAAAACTGTATCATCTGAAAACTTTAAAATCCTAGCAAAACATTCTTTTAGTGTTGGAGAATGGAAACTAAAACCTAACTACTGCAGACGTATATTTTTAACTACTACTTCATGCATGAGCATAAGCTGGGCGTACAATAAAGATTTCCCCTACAGAAAATATGTGTGAAATGGCACACAATCCTTAATAGTGCTTAGTTCAGTGTAGACCTTAGTCCTACCTACTTCTGCCTCATGCTTGACAAGATGCCATTTGTTATGCAAGGACTCCTAGGAACATTTCATCATGGTTCTAATCTCTTCCACAATAACTGAGGTAGTGAGGTTTATAACTTCCTACGACTATTCCTCTCCCAAATTGGTACCTACTATAATACTTGGAGTTCATGAAAATATTACACATGAGATATTACTATGCAGAGAAGCTAATTTAAGATATCCAATTTGCTAGCAACACCGATTTATCTAACCTATTTCAGGTACTATGAATAATTTTGAAGAGGAACTTACGAAAATTCTAATGAGAAATCATATGATACTCGCCATTCACCAAATTCAAACTTCATGGCCCTCAATCTCTGTATCAAATCCAAAAGAACTTCAATTTGTTTAAAGATTCTAACTTTTGGAAAGATCTTTCTACCCAATTTGAATACTCACTATCTGCCTTTTGGAAGAAAAGATGTTTCAGGATCTCATCTCTTTACTAAGTAGGCTTGGCTATCGATCAAACAAGGTTGTGGCAGTTTGATCTCTGCAATAAGGAGACTGGGGAGGCAAAGACAACCCTAAAGTATAGAAGGGTAACGAAACTGAATGAATGGTAATGGTATCTGCAATGAAACTTTGAATATAAAATGTAAGTTGAAAATTGGATGATGTTGAAAGCAATAAAATAATAAACATTCAACTGCATATTTATTTGTTCTTTTTAACTATATCTCTTCTAACATCAGCCTAATCATTTGCATTTACCGATAAAGACTTGAAGATTAATATTCGTGTTTAAGAGACTTGAAGATTAATACTCGTGTTTGAATTTGCATTAAACCATCTGCAGTATCTTGCCACTTCATTATCAACCTATGCAGTGCAGCAGCACCCCTTGCTTACCTATAGAGTTCACGATGAACAGCTCTTCTGGTAATCTGGGCAGGAAACTCGCAAACTATGCACTGTCGTTATTATGACCGCAAGAATCTGAGGTGGAAGATTTAAAAAATATTTAATTCAAAATTGTATTTATAAAGGGGTGTGTTCCAATCCTGATAACTACGGTACATCCAGAAACAAAGACATGACAAGCTAGGTAATGTGCCTTTAGTCCCATGTTTACACGGTCATAATTATGTCAAAATCTTCTGCCTAACTGTATATGGCCCAATTAGAAATCAGGTAGGAATCATAACACTGATAGCATACAGATGGACATAACTACAGTTACAAGGTAGCCCAAATCAGCAGTAATGTTTCCTTTTGCCAAACTATTTGCTTTCTCATTTAATTGCTTTTGATCAACATTTCCCCAAGTCCCTAAAAATCATCCACTTCGAGTAGAAAAGTTTATCAAATTAGAACCTATGCGGTTACACGACAGAGTAACTTCTATCAGAAAGCTATACAGATCATGCTCACAGCCATGCTGGGCAATAACACTTCCTTCGACACTGGCTATATGCGTACAATTACTCAAACATTTCCTCTATCTCATGCATGTTTTGGTTAAGAAAACTTGCCGTAAATTTCTTAGAGACATATCCCACACTTCTCATGCAATTTTTGATCCTGTTACATGTTTGGAATGTCTATTACTTTCGTTTATTCACCAAACACTGTAGTGGCTATATCCGATCAATATATTGACATATATTAAACTTTAAATATGTTCAAATTATTTTGCATAAAGTTTAAGAAGTCCTATTCCTTTTACTGTTTTACAAGGTCATAAAAATGGCATGTGAACATGTGTATTTACTATGCATACAAACTCTCATTAGTATCATACTCTAATATTATGCTGTTGTATCCCTGAATCCTGCTCTTCAAAGAATTTTCGTGACTTGTGTCACAGTCTCAGTTTCTTTTTTTCAACCTTTGTCTGTCCATCTCCATGCTACTTAGCCATGCAGTAGTTACTGATCAAATTGTCAAAGGACGGTTGTGCACAATGACTGCACCAATTCCATTCGGTGAAAGATACCTGAAGATATCACATTGACATCTGGAGGAACCAATGACATACAAAATTGTGTGGATATAAAATTTTCAAAACAGGTGAGCAAACCCATAAAAGAAAAAAGCTTGAACTTTTCCGGTGTAAGCAAGTAATTTAGGAAGCAAGTCAACAAGGAAGAGAGAACAATACCTCTCAACAATATCAGAAAAGGTACTTCCAAGAGCTGAAGCTGAAAAGAAGTGATCTACATTTCTTTTATGAAGTCCATTCTGAACAACATTATAAGGAATTGATAGCAGAGAGTCTAGACAATGCCACTGGAACAAAAGGAATAGTTAGTTAGCCATGATATATCGTACATATAGGGACATGATGATGGGCATATGTTAGCAGAATAGTTGATACGGATGGTAGGGTATGTTAATCTTAAATTTTAAGCACCTTCCAGTTCATCAAAACTGCCCGTCGACTACGCGTAAGAACTCCATTAGCAAGTAGATCATTGATGCCATGGAGAAAACCATGAACAAGAGGATCTAATATTGATGGATTCTCTCTATCTGGAAATTTTGACTTGTTATAAGACTTTATGAAATCAAAATCTGATGAGGACAAAGTCATAGTCCATGCTTTAAAGACGTACGCTAATGCTTCATATCCTCCTAAACAAAGTTCTGCACCAGCCTACACCGAACATTAAAAAAAAGAGGTATCTTACGATCAGTCAACTCCAAATTTAAAAAAAAAAAATTCAGTGTAAACAATCTTAGTGCTCGTCAGAAACTTCTCCCAAATGTTAGCGTTGAATGGTAGTCCATCTCTTCTAAACTATTTCAAGAAATTAAATAAAGAGTAACAAAAGTTCCATGTGTAGATATACATGCCTCTGAATTGTAATTCCGGCAGTGGATAACCTTCCAAGAGAATTCCCAATAGAAACTAAATGAAGAGCCAAGATCACCTCTTTTTAGCAGTGAAAACCATGATGAGATACAGGCTAGCGTTTTAACTGACATAATCTGTAGAAACAATTTTTAAAAATAGAGGTTACACATATTTTAAAACAACAGACAAAGAGAATGAAGCCTCCTTAGTATGCTTGATTCAAAAGAAGCAAGGCGAAAAGGGAGGACATCTGACCAAGTAAATGAGTGACCAAATAGCAATAGAAAGAGGGCGCAAAAGTACTACAATACAGCCTGAAATCAACAATACTACTAACCATTTTTAAAGAGATTTAAAACACTCCAGGGTATGAAATAGGTCGGACAATAAGCAAACAAGATATAAGGCTGCATGTTCACACATTCATATGCACAAAAGGAGAAAGCACGCATCGTCATGCACAACAATGCACCCAACCATGCACGTGTACAAAAACAGAAACATCACTCTTTGCCTAAGTTATTACGTTACAATATAGGGTTGGCAAAGCAATTAGACAATATCTTTTCTTTCAGGAGGAAAATATGTACATTTATGTATGCAGGAAGCATCAATGGATGGTTATGATCCTATGTGTGTATATATGAGAGTGCACGTAGGGAGAACTAGAACAGGCAGCTGGAATGATGCAAGTACTTTTTCTCATCTTTAATTTAAGATACTACTTATTGGAGTGGTAAGGGTGTAAGAGGATGAATTGAGAATTGACTGATATTATTTTCCTTTTAGATAAGAGGACATTTTGGTATAGAATTCTTATCCACTTAATTTCTTCGCAACCCTTGCTCTATTTGGACAATTTAACATATGAGCTAGTGGCCTGAAAACACATGTTTGATCAGTACCAATTTACCATGAAGAACCTAGACCTATCAACCTGAAAACAAAATCCTAAAACATCTATAACTAAGAGTATTCATGTAATAGATCACTTCTGGCTCATGCATTAAGGTGAACCTTTTCAACAATAGAGTAAAGAAGACCACAATTTCTCCACCACTAACCACATAAGGTATTTCAAAATCACCTCTAGTTCATGCATTATGATAAACATTTTCAAGAAAAGAGCACAGAAGAACATAGAAGACCACGATATATACTGATGAGCAAAGAAGACCCTACGTATCGGGGTCTAAAGAGTATAATGAAGCATGAAAGTTGCTTTTTAATTCTTAACTTATTAACAGCATAAGTAAAGACCACTAGGGTAGATTTTCATACTAGCTTATTGTTTTGTAGTTACTATACTTGGATTTTTTTCTAAATCATTTTACCATTTTTCTGGTTACATTTCTTCATGTGATATTTCTTCTATGAATCATAAGGCTCATTCCAGTTTCAAATTCTTCAAATGGAAAATTTCTCCTGAACTTCACAGATCTCAAATTTATTTAAAATTAAAATATGGAGAATTTTCCATATTGATTGATGTCCATGGAGAACAGAAAAAAGACCAAAGAGGAAGGGGGAAAACTTATTTTATATCTGTCAGAGTACCATGATTGTCTTCAATCATTGATTTTTTTTAAGTTCACCCTAACGCTATAATTTTCTAATTTTAACTGCCAGGTATTTACGCAGTGTTATCAACATCAGTTTTTTCTTTCTTATTCTCTTCTAACAATGATTGTTAAGTTATACCAAGAGAGAGTTGAAGTACACAACATAGATTGATGGTCTTAGACATATCTATTAAGAAGTGGAGTAGAAAAACTAACGTGACCAAGAGACTAAGAAATAAATAGTGGAATTTAAAAAGAGAGAATTTAATACACTATAAAGATAAGATAATGAAAGAAGATATATGGAACACAGATAATGAGACTAATATTATGTAGCATAGCATGTCTTCCTATATTAGGAAAGTGGCTAAAGATATACTAAAAGAATCTAAATTTTGTAGATTAGACGGTAAGGAGAGTTAGTGGTGGAATGAGAGTATGCAAAATGTTATTAGAGAGAAGAGAACTTTATACAGAGTGGCAAAGGTGTAGAATAGGGAAAACATAGAAAATTATATATCATAAGGCTTATGAGTTATGACAATTTGTATAAGAAGTTAGAATCTAAAGAGCGAGAGAAAGATATATATAAGCTTGCTAAGATTAGAGAAAGGAATAGTAGAGATTTGGGTAATATTAGGTGTATTAAAAGTGAGGATCAAAGAGTTCTAGTGACCGACGGGGAAATAAAAGAGAGGTGGAGTTACTTTTATCAATTGTTTAATGATAACCAAACAAGTGAACAAAATAGAGAGTTTGACCATATAGTGAATGACAGGAACTATAGATATTGTCGAAAAATTAGGATTAGCGAGGTTAAAGATGCTCTAAAGAAAATTAGAAGTGGAACAGTCGTAGGACAAGATAAGTTTGGAAATGTCTTGGAGATATAGGCTTAAGATGGTTAACTAAACCATTTAATAAGATTATCGAGATGAAAAGAATGCCAGATGAATGGAGGATTAGTACTTTGATACTGATATATAAGAATAAAGGGGATATACAAAGTTATTCAAATTATCGAGTTATGAAACTCACGAGTTATATATGAAACTTTAGGAGAGGGTAATTGAGCAAAGACTAAGAAAAGAGAAGCATATCTGAAAATCAATTTGATTTTACGACCGACATGTCAACTATGAAACCTATACATATTTTGAGACGGTTGATGGAGAGAAAGAAAGAAGAGAAAGGATCAACATATGGTTTTTATCGATCTAGAAAAAAACTTATGATAGAGTGCCTAGAGAATATGTGGTGAGTGTTAGAAAAGAAACATGTATCTAGTATATATATTGATGTGATTATAGATATGTATGATAGAGTAACAACTAAAGTAAGAACTAATGAAGAAGAGACTAAACCATTTTCTATTACTAGATATGTATGATAGAGTAACAACTAAAGTAAGAACTAATGAAGAAGAGACTAAACCATTTTCTATTACCATAGGTTTACACCAATGGTCAGTTTTAAGTAAGAACTAATGAAGAAGAGACTAAACCATTTTCTATTACCATAGGTTTACACCAATGGTCAGTTTTAAATCATTATCTTTTTGTATTAGTTATGGATCAACTTACTAAGCATATTCAGGATGAAATCTCATGGTGTATGTTATTTATCGATGATATAATATTAGTTGATAAAACTAGAAGAGACATTATTTTTGAAGTAGAAAGATGGAGACAATCTCTTGAATCTAAAGGTTTTAGAATTAGTAGAATAAAACAGAATATATGGAGTACATTTTAGTAAAACTAGGAAAGAAAGTGAACCTATGGTACATATTGATGGCCAATAAATACCTAAAACTAATCATTTTCGCCATTTAGGATTAATCATTAGGCATGATGGTGAGATAGAGGATGATGTTGTGCATCGAATCAAATCGGGATGATTAAAATGAAGGAGTGTTTCGGGAGTCTTATGTGATCGTAGAATACCAATGAAACTAAAGAGAAAATAATATAGGACAGATATACGACCAACTATGATTTATGGGTTAAGAGTGTTGGACAATTAAAAAATAACATGTTCAAAAAATAATTATAGCAGAAATGAGAATGTTGCGATGGTCTTGTGGGTATACATTAAAGATAGGATAAGAAATAAGTGCATCCGTAGTAAATTAGATGTCAAATAAACGAATTACCTTTATACAAATTGGCTACTTACACTCCCAATTAAACATCTAAAAGGTAGTAGTACACCATGGAAAAAATGAGTTACATCTAAATGCAAAAACAAAAAGGCCGAACAATGTTATTAACCTGCAGCTTATGCTAGAAATGTTTGCTTAAACTTCATTTAAAAATTCCACTTCACTCGCCCTCCTTATAGGAGTTCTTTTTGTTTTCTTATCCTTCTTTCTTTTCTTTCTTTTTTGTTCTCTTATCCTTCTTTCTTCTCTTTTTTTTTTTTTTTTTTGGGTTGCTTTACAGTTCCTTAATAGAGCTTGGGAATTTAGCTACAAATTCTATGATTAAAAAACAATAAAATTTATCTTTAATAAATAAAACTTTCACTTTTTTGTTTCATTAAAGAATAATAATTTGAGAATTTTGATATCACCAATCTGGAAAGAAAGAAAAAAAAATTAAGATGAATGTTCATAACAAAACTGTGACGGAAATGGCATACCATAGGGTTGTTTTTGAAATGTCTGATCATTTATATACTTCCTCAAAAAGGTTCCTCGAACATAATTGCAGAAGATTACAATTGCAGAAGATTGCAGTACGAATTATATGCAGATTCATACTTCTGGAGTTGCAATATAAGAATGTATGCTCATAATCCAATTACCATTGATCCATTGAGTTTAGATCCAGGAGGGTCTGTAAATTCCTGAACTGTCACTTGGATCAAACTAGATTAGATACGTAATCAGATCCAAAGCTTTCTTATTAAAATTTGATTGCCAATTTACACCTATGCTTAGAAAGGGCAGTACCCAATCCCTTTCTAATGCTAAAAGGGATTGAAGTTGCTGGATCTTAAAGTCGCGTGGTGCTTAACATGTTAAAACTAAAAATCAGCATCGATAAAGTCAGTTCTGCTTTCTTCTCGCTTTGACCACGTCTTTGTCGCTCCTGATTTTTCCTTATATGTTCTCACTTCCCCCGGTTCCGGCATTTTAATGTGAATCCTTGCATTTTGATACTTGGTTTTTGACGACAGGTGCTTGATTCAAGTATTCCAGTCAAAATAAATTTTTGGGCCATGTATCATCAACGTGCTGCCAGCCATAATTTCAGGAAAAGCTTACAAATCATGCAAGCCTCCATATAGAATACTGAATAAACTACATTACTAATTAACTGTCACGAGAGGCACACAATAACATTGGGCATCCATAGGACATCACATTCCTGTACTAAAAAAGACTGCACTCAATTGGACACAGCTGGACACAACAGAAAAACTACAAGATATGAAGTTAACAATCAAGGTTATCAATAGCGGATAGCGTCGCGTAGCGGTGAGGCATCGCTAAGGCTATTTCGGGCTATTGCGGCAAAATAGCTGTAAAAAGCGTAAAGTCAAATAGCAGTCTAATTTAGATATGT